CTAGAGACTCTAAATTATGTGTATGTAAATCAGAAGCATAAGAAAGTAACAACAAAATGAAAATATAATTTCTAGAAGTACAATAAGAAATCAATTAGTATTAAGAACTCAATGACTCAATAAAATGGTAGAGAAGATAAAGAAAGAATCAGCAAATTAGAAGATCTATCTAAAGAGCTATCCAGAATTATCATAGAGATAGAGACTGAAACTAATAAATAGACATTAAAAGCATGGTGGAAAAATTAAGATGGCTAACCTATGCCTAATAGGAGTTTCAGAATAGGAAAAGGAAAAGGAATGGGGGAAAGTTAAGATTTAAAAGACTAATGAGGCCAGGCATGGTGGGTCATGCCTGTAATCCCAGCACTTTGGGAGACCAAGGCAGAAGGATTGCTTGAGGTCAGGAGTTTGCGACTAGCCTGGGCAACATAGTGACAGGAGTTGGAAGGCACAGAACTATGATAGCACCACTTCACTCTAGTCTGAGCAACACAGTGAGATCTTGTCTCTAAAAAAACAAACAAACCCGAATGACTGGGAATTTCCATAATTGATGACTTGAGCCCTGAGACAAGAAGCACAAGTCCCAAAGAGGAAAAATAAAGTTAAATTCACACCTAGATGCTTTAGAGTGGGAATGCAGACCACTAATAAGAAAGAGGAGAACTTAAAAGCAACCCAAGATAAGAGACAATTTATCTATAAAAGGAATATGTAGACTTATCATAGACTTCTTCACAGCCGCCATACAGACCAGATGACAATGGACTAATACATCAATGTGCTGAGCAAAAACTAAAAATCATATTAGAAATACTAGAAAAAATCATACTAGAAATATACGGCCAATTAAATTATTCAAGAGTGAGGGTAAAATATAGGCATTTTGGGGAAAAACTAAGAGACATTAAATAGAGTATTGTTGAAACACCTACTAAAGGATATACTCCAGAAAAAAAGATGTGGAGTAAAAGAAGCAATGGTGCCTGTTTTATTGTTTTCTGTATATTTCTGTTTTTCTGGCATGTTTCAAAAGTAAAATAAAAAATTAAAATCCCCTACTTACATATTTCAATCTATCTAAAGAAGCATAGCTTCCAAATGTTGCCTATATCATAGATCTTTTCCAAAAAATTAAGTCTTAGACTTGAGTAAATTCTAAAGATAGTTTTCCTACTTCATAGAAGGATTGGTTTCAATCAAAAGGGCCTGAGAAACGTTCTTAAAAAGAAAAAAAAAAAAGAAAAGGAAAAGGAGAAGCAGAGCCTGGCATTAGATCTCCAGAAAATTATTCTCTGGTCAAAGTTTGCGAGTCTCAAAAATTTAGAAAGATATCCTTCCATAGGCCACTTCTGGCTGAAAACCAAGGACTGTTACCAAAAAATTATTGAAATTCTCCATAAGCAGGTGAATCATCTATTTAAAAGGCAGCTAAAGGCTCAGGAGACCTTGCAAATGTAGACGAATGAGCAGAAAAGAATGCTGGCCTTTAGTTCACATATTTTATTTCCCTGACTAGATACTTCCCTGGGGGTAGAGGGAAGGACCTTTGTAGGAGAGTAAAAAGTTTGTAAACACATGAAATTAATGAGACATTCCTAAGGGACGTATAAGGAAGAATTTTTGTGTGGAAAAAGGGAAGAGGGGCTGCTAAAATGATGGATGCTGGGAAACATGTTTAAAAACCTATAAGGAATAAAAAAGGTACAAATGAAGAGAACAGTACTATACTGGGAGATTAAATACAACAGTAAAAAAAATGTCTATTTAGGAAGGGAGCTTTCCAAGGAGAAAGTCTGTAATTCTATCATTTGGCAAAGGTTGGAGCCCCTTTTTGGGGTTGCCAGGAAAGATGCTTAAATTACAATTTTTATAGTTTCCTTCAATGGAACTTCAGGAAATTGGCCAAATATGTATGACTCAATATGGATCCAAATCTGACAGGCTGAGTCGTGCACTATATTAAGATTTGAATCCTCAATTTGGCCCCTTCCTTAGGCTCTTGGGCCATTGTTCATCCAGGGAAGATTTATTGAGCCTGACTCCGAGCCAGGCAGTGTGCAAGGTGTCCAGAGGTCCTAATTCATTTCTTTAGGCCATCGTTCTCCTTAGCAATTAGTTCACAACTCTTCTCTGTCCTCAGCCTCCCAATCTTTTATTCATCCTCCTCTCTCTCCGCTGATGACCTTTCTCTTCAACTCACTGAAAAATAGAAGTTAACAGAAGAACACTTTCACAGGCTCTACCAACTATATCTACACTTCCCTACTTGGCCTGCCCTCTAGTTAAAATGAATTGACTGGGCTTTTGCCTGGGGCCAACCTCTCCACAGGGTCACTGGATCCCTTCTCTCATCAACTCAGATATGTCTCCAGCCAGTTCTCTCTCTCTCTTTAAACACCATCTCTCCAATAAGAATTTTCAAATTCATGAATCCAAACTGATCTTTCTCTTGAACTCCAGACTTCATTCAGTTGCCCACTTGATTTCTCCACTTTGAATGTCTAATATAAATGTCAAACCTTACATTTCCAACCCAGTGTGGTGGCTTACGCCTGTAATCCCAACACTTTGGGAAGCTGAGGCAGGAGAATTGCTTAAGCCCTGGCGTTTGAGACCAGCCTGGACAACGTGGCAAAACCCTATCTCTACAAAAACAAACAAACAAACAAACAAAAACCAATTAGGCACACACCTGTAGTCCCAGGTATTTGGGAGGCTGAGGTGGAAGGAATTATCTGAGTCTGGGAGGCAGAGGTTGCAGTGAGCGGTGTTCACACCACTGCACTCTAGCCTGAGCAAGAGTGAAACCCTGTCTCAAACAAAGAAATGACCCAAAAAAACAAAAACTAAACTACATTTCCAAGTGCTAACTCTTGTCTCATTCACAGCTCCACACTCAGTTTGCCTCTCCTTCTGCCCTCCCCATCTCAGTTAGCAAAGACTCCTTTCTATTCATTGTTTAGGTCAAAAATCTTGGAGTCATCTTGGATTTCCTCCCACCTTTCAACCCACTTTCAGTTTGTTGGCAAATTCTATTGGTTGGCAAATATATCCTAAATATGATCGCTTCTTACCACTTCTGGTATACTCACCCAGTCAAAATTGCCATTATCCTTTGCCTGAACTTATCACTGGTCTGCCCTGTACACTCACTCCCCCACCACTTATTCTCCATAGAAGTCATCCTTCTAAAATGTAAATCAGATTACTTGCCTCTTTTGCTTTTACCTACCATGACTTGCATCTCATTTATGTAACATATTAAATGTTTACCAAGGTTCTGTATTTCCTGGCATATAATGGGGATGTTGAGTCTCTGAGCTCTCCTCTCACTCTTCCCTTACTCCACCCCAGGCATGATGGCCTGAGTACACGGTGCCTTTGCCTTTGCCTACTATGTTCTCACTGCCTGAATGTTCTTTCCAAGATACTTTCATTGCTGACTCTCCTCCTTCTTTAAGTCTTTACTTAAATGTTACTCCCTCCAAGACACCATCACAGACCACCCTATATAAGATGCACCCACTCCCTATGATTATCACTCCCCTTCCTGTATTCTCACACCCTAAGGACACAAAGGTTTCTCTGAATTTCAAGATAGTGTTTATGCTCAATTATTTGAAAATGTAAAAGCAATTCAAGAGTCATTGATTTGGGACTCTGATAATTCCAGGTGTGGTTAAAATGATGTATGTTTTTTGCATCATTTACTTTTCTGCCCCCTAAGTAAGCGCAAACAAGATGCAAGGGGCTATTGTATTTGGTGGAAAAAAAAAACTGGACTGAGATGTAAATGAGCTGGATTCTAGTCTAGGTCCACCACCCAAGACTGTGCCCATGGGCCTGTGGGCTCACCTCCCTGGGGTGAGCTCACCCTCCTTCCCAGTTCCTACCTCGTAAAATGGGGATGTTCAATGGGTCTGCCATTGGGAAATCAACCTAATGAGGAATTGTAAGTGGTTACAATTAACTCTGTTCCATTCCATCCAATAAATATACGTCAAACATTTACCATGTCCAAGGCACTATGTTAATGGTAATATGAAATAAAAGGTACTTCTTGCCCATAGTTCAAAGATAGTAGAGGAGAAAAGACCTTACATCATAGAATTAAAATAACTGTATTTAAAAAAATGATGTAGTATAGTTTTACACCCTACCCTTATCTTTAGATGAAGAAGCTGAGCTGAAGTTCAGAGAAGTGAAGTGACTAATTAAAGAATAAACAATTAATAATAGTTGTGGAGTCAGGGCTCTCCAAAGAGGCTAACAAGTTTGATTACTCTAAAGATAGAATTCAATTCATTCCCTAACATTTGTGACTTTTAAAAAAATCAGAATATAGATTCTAATCAGTATAGAAGCTGGATTCTTTTTTATTTTGTTAACCTTTTAGAAGCTGTATGAGAGGGCTCATTGGGAGATGATCCTCATATTTTTGCAGCTTGATCGTCTGTCTATACCAATATGCAAAAGCAGTCAGGATTTAAACGCCTAAAGATGAATAGCCTGTTCACCTGTGTACACAATCCAGTGTTTGGACAGGATGATCTGTTATTAATTTAAATCAATAACTGAAAAACAATGCCTATCACCACTCCACCCATCTCATAAGAAAGAAAGAGAGCTGGGATCATAAAACTCACCAAGCGTACCTGAAACACGCCATAGAAAACAGTCATGGTTAATGCCTGGGTCAACACAATCCACCTTTGGTTTAATTTACTAAAACACTATGAGAGAGAATGCCATGGGGGCCTCAACACACCCATCATAACTATGAACTAATGTCTCCCAGATGATCAGGGAATCCTTTCCTGAGGAATTCAGTTCCCTGAACTTGACCTTGTTCAGTGACTTTAGAGTAAAGAAGAAAATGACTGCCAGATTAAAAGAGAAATATTTTATTCTTTGGCCAGATTCTGATTAGCTGAGAAATAAGATAATGATGCCTGTTAAATGAGCAACCCTCAGAGCCTTCCCTCCATCTACAGCTACAGGGAATGGGAAGTAGCCATGAGAAGCCCTGGAGCTGCTGGATACTCTGCAAGGCCATCCTCCTGTAACTAAGGTCACTCTATTGCACCGTCAAATCCAAATATATCTTAGCTGGAAGGACCTGCGCATCACCTATCAACCCTTCACTTCATAAACGTGTCTTCATGGTTCACAAAGACTGGTGCCAGCATCATCACACGGACACTTGTGACGCTCTAGAAGGTAGGGCAGGCATCAGTATTTCCATTTCGGGTGAGACAGTGAACTCAGACCCTATTCAGTGTTTCACCCAAGGTCACAGACAGCTCGTTTGTCAGGGAGAAGGAGCCTGAACCCTGGTTGTATCCTCTGAGTTTGGTAACTGACCATTGCCAATCTTACAAAGCAGGACATGAAACTCATCAAGGCAAGGTAGCTTCTCATGGTTACCTAGCGGATGAGTACCAGGGTTGAGACTTGAGAGTGCAGAACACTGATTATTTAGCAGTGCCAAGGTGAGCAACCTTTGCTCAAGACATGGATGGACATTTATTGCCCAGGAAAGCATCCTTCCTTCCTTCCTGTCCCTGAACATCCTAGGGATTTAACCATCTCCCTTTTTCCATTGCACCCACCTATTTTCCAACTTGGATTCCACTGAAGGAGATGCCACAAAACCTTCTTTCTCCTCACTTTCATCCTGGGAATCAGGATCAGCCTTTCAGTTTTATGGGTTTATTACTGTTGTTTTGTTTTCAAATTTAATAACCATGGGGAAAAATGTTAATGAGGTACCAATGCTTCCAGTTACTAGATAATTTAGAAATGATAACAATCATTTTCTAATATGGTAATGATTAACTCTTACTTAACTGCTTAGCAGAGGACCTTATCTACTAATTACTGATTTGGTGGTAGATATCCTTATCATTACTATAGATACTCTTGGCCACCCAGCTAATTAGAAGCAGAACCAATACTTGAACCTAGGCCTTCAGATTCCTTGCCCAGTGCTCTACTAGGGCTGCCTCACAGGGTTGGGATGCTTGAATTAAGCAGCATAGATAAGGGAGGCTATGAACTTAGGGAAGGGGGCTGTGGGGCTAACGAAAATGAGACCAATTACAACTTATCAGTTATTCAGGAAGGGTCATCTAGGGCCAGTTCCTGCAAGGGTGCTGGGAAATGCAGGTCTAAAAGTCAATGTGTATATTGCTTGGTTCGTTGACAGGACTACAAAAGCTAAAGGATTTATCAGCCAGAGAGGAAGACTGATGAGAGATGGGGACAGACACTAGTTGTGCTGCCTGCTTTGCCAGTACGGTAAAAAATTTATACCTTTGGGTGCAGGCCAAAATAAGGAGATGATGAGAGAGGAAGATTTTGGGAACCCAGCAAGAATTGGAGGCCTTAGTTTTGGACTGCTTCTAGACTAACTGTATCCGTCTTCTAGACTGGCCAAGAAATTGCTTGACTCCCCCTCCTCCCCTAGCTATCCTCTCCTCCCTGGCACCCAAGCACTACCTCACGCTCATGTGTTTATTCCTGTTTCTGTCCTAGACCACTGCAAAGCCTAGTGAATCCCTGTTTCCTCAGCTCCTCCCCAAGAAGCCTTTTCCAAGACTCCCCTCCCCAGGGGAACACCCGCCCTCCCCCAGGCTGGCCATGTGGAGTCTGTCTTGTTCCCCCCATCTTGTTACACTTGTATATTTGGTCTTTGACGCAGAGGCTGACCCCACATGTTACATCATCCTGTGCAGAGCACATTCAGCAGGCGAATGACTTACAGCACATGCTCTGTCTTCTGTTCTTTCTATTAGGGGCGTGATTTAGAAGATGAATGTTTATAACATGACCTAAGGAATTTCATCCTTCTCTGGAAAACTGTGTAGGAGAGAATCCTGATGGACAAAGAATAATGTGTTCTGGGCTCCAGCCAAATATTTGGACTTGTTTGAAAAGGCCTCGGTGCTCACCTTCTGCTGTTTATTGCAAACTCATCACCTCATGATTGTCCCTAGCTGGCTCAGAAGGGAGTGGTGACAAATGAGCATCTCCTTTGTTTTCATGCAGAAACCACTTTGCAGTGATGATGTGTTAATTCTTTATTAAGTGACTTCCTGACCAAACACCTTAAAAGGCCATGTAACTCTCCCCTCCTGCATTGCATTTGTAGGGGAAAGGAGAGGGTATGGAGCATGAAAGGCAAATCAGATCTATGTACTGGGGGTATCTAGGCAGAAAAGCAGTTCCTTGTGAATGGAAAACAGCTCAGCAGTGTCCGTCCCCTGCCAGGTTCTTGGGAGGTGGTTTGCTATAGTGGAACACCAGATTTGTTGCTGATCTTGGTTAAATCACATAGGGAAGTGATATAACCTCTTTGAACCTCAGTTTCTTCTTCTGCAAAAAGAACCATGCAAGCTATCACAGAGATTAAATTAGTTAAATTATGTGTAAAAAGAATAATTTTAAAATACTTCCTGCTGTGTTTTTCTTTGATGATTTCTTGCTACCATTATGACCTTAGAGCAGGAAAAAAGTAAATGCTGCTTCAGGAAGGAAAAGGGAGTTACGTAGACAGGAAGAAGAATTGAAACTCCAGAAAGGATTCTAAGAAGTAAGATACCATTAAAGAAATCTAAAGCAGAGAGGTTTTCCTGAGAAGAGAGAGTAAAAATGTTTTTTTTAATTTATTTATTATTATTATTATACTTTAAGTTCTAGGGTACATGTGCATAATGTGCAGGTTTGTTACATATGTATACTTGTGCCATGTTGCTGTGCTGCACCCATCAACTCGTCAGCACCCATCAACTCGTCATTTACATCAGGTATAACTCCCAGTGCAATCCCTCCCCCCTCCCCCCTCCCCATGATAGGCCCCGGTGTGTGATGTTCCCCTTCCCGAGTCCAAGTGATCTCATTGTTCAGTTCCCACCTATGAGTGAGAACATGCGGTGTTTGGTTTTCTGTTCTTGTGATAGTTTGCTAAGAATGATGGTTTCCAGCTGCATCCATGTCCCTACAAAGGACACAAACTCATCCTTTTTTATGGCTGCATAGTATTCCATGGTGTATATGTGCCACATTTTCTTAATCCAGTCGAGACAGTAAAAATGTTAAGTCTCTTTGAAGAATTCCTGCATTGACATCTTTTAGGTAGTAATTGGCAAAGGCAAGGTGGTAGCACAATTATCTGGGATAGGGCATAGATTTTCTTCAAAAATGAGGTTAGTGTGGCAATTCCTAGGTTTCCTGGGGCCTAGACAAGATTCTACCAGCCCCAGGGAGAGCTGCTCCATGGAGAAAAAGAGCCCCCAACAATGGTTATGAAGTAGACCCTATCTAGGTGTTGGGGAGGGAGAAGGTCATGCCTCTGTAAGTACCAGGAAACTCTGCGGTGGCTGTCTAGCTAGTTGTCCAAAGACCAGTGAACATTCTGCATGGTAGAGCCAGCAATTAGATGCCACCAACAACCAGACCAGATCATTTGAAGTGACCAGCAGCTGAAGCCAGCAAAGAACAGACCATGAGTTTTATTGGCCATGAACTTTGGCCACGTGTTTCAGACACGTGCCCAGGGTACAGACCTTGCTGACCACATTGGGTCAGAAACCCAACTGGTAGAACAGAGTTTACCCTGTCACTGTGAGGATACGTGAGTTTCTCTCTTCAGCCAGATGCCATCTTGGTTGGGAGGAGAATCTAAATGATTAAACATTTTCCCAAAGATACTTAGGTTACTCTAAAGAATCAAGTTAAACTTCAAGACACTGTTTTGAATCCAAAGACCTTTATCAATGAAAGATTTCCCTTCCGCAATCCTCCCACAATCCTGTGTCCCAGTAGGATGGTTACTTATGAGAATTAGTTGCAGGGATTAGTTGCAGAGAAATAAAAAGGCCCAAGTAACTTGTAGGTCATTGTATTTTAATTCAACTCTGTATTTAATATCACCACAGGCTGGGCGTGGTGGCTGACGCCTGTAATCCCAGCGCTTTGGGAGGCAGAGATGGGTGGATCACGACCTCAGGAGATCGAGACCATCCTGGTTAATCTGGTGAAACTCCATCTCTACTAAAAATACAAAAAATTAGCTGGGCATCGTGGTGGGCGCCTGAAGTTCCAGCTACTTGGGAAGCTGAGGCAGGGGAATGGCATGAACTCAGGAGGCGGAGCTTGCAGTGAGCCGAGATCATGACACTGCACTCCAGCCTGGGCGACAGAGCAAGACTCCGTCTCAAAAAAAAAAAAAAAAAAAAAAAAAAAAAAAAAATAGCACCACATATAGGAGACAATGCATGTGAGTTCTCTTAAATGTAATGGAAATATCATATTGGATGGAATCCTCCAATATGACAAGCTTCTCACTCTTGGTATACTAAGTACTGCTAACACAGAGTAGGAAGGAAGTTCGTACATATTTACTGGCCACAGGTTGATTTTATTTACAGCACTGAAAGTAAAGAAAAATGGAAATAGTCCATTATGTTTTAGTTAATTACTTATGTTGAACATAGTTAAGATTTTTTTCCTGGGACTCCACAGTGTGAGGGGAGTGATAACATCCTAACAATATTCCTTATTCCTTTTTCTAAAGCAATGACATTTGCCTCACTTGTGGTGGTCTTCATCCTTCTCCTTCCTAGTGCTCTAGGGTTTGGGTCACCATCTTAGCCAACTGCCAATAGATTTTCACTACTATCTCTTTCCCACTTTATTCCAGATTTCTCCAAATTATTTTGTCATTCTTCTTCATTTAATTACCACAAATGCCTTCTATGAAAGATATTATTAACTTCATTTTGCAGATAAAGAAACAATGAATCCACAGAGTTAAGAGAAGATATTTCTAAATATTTATTGCACATAAAAATGACGAGAAGTGGCCAGGTGCGGTGGCTCATGCCTGTAATTCTAGCACTTTGGGAGGCCGAGGTGGTTGGATTGCCTGAGCTCAGGAGTTTGAGACCAGCCTGGGCAACACAGTGAAACCCCATCTCTACCAAAAATACAAAAATTAGGCGTGGGTGTGGTGGTGCACACCTGTAATCTCAGTTACGCAGGAGACTGAAGCAGGAGAATCCCTTGAACATGGGAGGCAGAGGTTGCAGTGAGCCGAGATCGCGACACTCCACTCCACTCCACTCCACTCCAGCCTGGGCAACAGACCCCGTCTCAAAACAAAACAAAACAAAACAAAACAAAACAAAAAAGTTAGCCAGGCATGGCGGTGTGTGCCTGTAGTCCCAGTTGCTTGGGAGGCTGAGTCAGGAGAATTGCTTGAACCTTGGAAGCAGAGGTTGCAGTGAGCCGAGATCGTTGTGACAGAGCAAGACTCTGTCTCTTAAAAAAAAAAAAATTATGAGAAGTTTGATTTTAGCCACAATCCTTATGAAAAGTGTGATTCTTAAAGGAGGTCTGTTCAGCACAACTACAACATACTGGTCAAGGTAGATGCCAGAGTGCCCCATCCTGGTCTCTCCAGTCACATGGGACTCTGAGAATCAAGCAGAGAGGTGGAGAAAGGAAACAGTCAACATAATCTCCAAATTATGTTGCTGGTACTTGGAGATGGGGCCTTTGTGGGAGGTGATTAGGGTTAGATGAGGTCATGTGAGTGGGGGGCCCATGATGGGATTAGTGGCTTTATAAGAAGAGGAAGAGAGACTAGGGCTGGCACACTCCTTCTCTCTCACCATATGATGCCCTCTGCCAGATTATGACACCAGAAGAAGGCCTTTGCCAGGTGCCGGCACCTTGATATTGGACTTCCCAGGCTCTGAAGCTGTGGGAAATAAATTTTCTTTATAAATTACCCAGACTGTGGTATTCTGTTATAGCAACGCAAAACAAAGACAGACAGTGCCCTTTTTTCTGCCGTCGAAACAGAAGATGAGGGTAGGAGTTCTCAAGGGACTCTCCCCAAATCTGAAGGAAATCACAGACCTGCAGTGCTGCTTTGAAGGTGTCCATCAAGACCCTGGGTTTACTCTAGCTCTGAATTCCATTTCCACTGTGTGTGTTTGGGGCTTGACAGGGATAGAGAGGGTGATGGTGATGATGGTGTGGTCGCTTTCTCTTTAATCCACGGCTGTTGAAGTTCAGACCACATTTGGGCCAAATGTGGAAATTAACCTTTGTTGTTGTTGTTGTTTGTTGAGATAGAGTCTTGCTTTGTCACCCAGGCTGGAGTGCAATGGCATGATCTCAGCTCACTGCAACCTCTGCCTCCCAGGTTCAAGCAATTCTGGTGCCTCAGCCTCCCAAGTAGCTGGGAGTACAGGCACATGCCACCACGCCCAGCTAATTTTTGTATTTTTAGTAGAGATGGGGTTTTGCCATGTTGACCAGGCTGGACTCAAACTCCTGACCTCAGATAATCTGCCTGCCTTGGCCTCGCAAGTGCCAGGATTACAGGCGTGAGCCACTGTGCCTGGTGACCCTCTTTTTAAATATACTTCACCTAGAAATCCATTTTCTGAGACAAAACATGAAAGTGATCATTCTCCCTGCCAGTCTGATGTGACCAGAGCGCGGCTTAACTTATGATTTCTAAACTTTTTATTCACAAAGGAAATATTACAGGGAGGGCCAGTACATACAACAGGGAAAGGCTGACAGCTCCAGGGGCAACTGAGGGCTGACAGGAGCCCCGCCCTCCACTCTTGCTCTTCCTGCTCCCCCCACACATCCTGGGAGCATCCCTTCAGAACCCCACAGGCTCTACAGGGTGTAGTTGGAAATCACTGCATACATAGAAAATATGAGCAGGAAAACCACACATGAAGAATTATTACTAAGGGCTGCCATAAGCATCATGCTTGTCCTTTGGGGAATTATGATTCATTCACCGAATAAGAACTTACCACCATTTCTTCTAGCGTGCTTTATCCACTGTGTGCACAGAAGAGATTGATTCTATTGCCACAGTGGCCATTTTAAATTTTAATAGATGCTGTCCCTTTGCTTTGGTTCTCCTTAAATATTCAAATTAGATTCATTTTTATGGTCCCAGAAATGTGCTAGATTTAACAGGAGTCATTAAAATGTCTAAAAACGTATATTTCAGGGAACTCCCAACATAGTATGAAGAAACACACAGGCGTGCGCGCGCGAACACACACACACACATATATAGTTCACTTATATAAAGTGAAATGAGTAACAATTCGTGACAAGTGAAGTGATACTATAGGACAATGTATGATTAAAAACCAAGCCTGTTGCTCAGAACATAACTGCCCTCGGAATTCAGTACTAAGATTACCTTGTATCACAGTAGCATCCTAATTATGGTATGTAGAAAAATGAAAGAGGTTGAATTCTGCTCTCCTGGGCCCTGGTCAGGTGTCACCCAAAATGTTGACTTAGCTCTGAGCACCTCACTTTCAGAAAAACGTGGTCAAAGCACAATGGGCTCTGATGTGAGATCATGTCCTGCGAAGAAGTGTTGGTAGAGTTGGTAGAGTTGTAGCTGTTTTGTTTGGGGAAGGTAGTGCACTGGTATGATCCTTACTTCACCAGGGATTTTCATGGAAAATAATACGTCCAGCTCTCTACAGCACTTCTTCCCCCTCTGTCCTCCCTATTCACCTCTCCAGTGGGGTGGACACCAGGGGGTGCCACTGACACAGATCATAGTGTGAACTGTGTCCCTTTGAGCTGTGCAAAACAGTGGCCCAGTCACTGCCTTTACAGAAAGGGATTTGAGTTTTTCCATGTGCTTTCAAAAAGTGGGTACAAATTAAAAGGCCAGAAAACAAGGGTAGTGAGATTTTGGCTTAAGATAAGGACATTCTAACAGTGGGAGAAGATAGAATGAGTGGCTGTAGATGTAAGTGTTTGGAAAGGAGTTTTATTTAGAAGGAAGTCTGTGCCTCTAAAATTGATAATAATGATAGTATCCGGTGAATCGCATTTTCATGATGTGAGTGGCCTTGTAGTATTTTATGTTTTTCACAAGTGGTCTCCTTCTTAATCACTACACCATTACTTCTAGGTAGGAATTACAATGATCTTTATTTTATAGATGAAGAAACTGAAGTTTGGACAAATTGCATTACTTTCCTAAGGTCACAGAGAGAACAAATTTCTAATTTCAGAATTAGTCTCTCTAATTTCAGAATGCAAACCCTTAACCATTATGCCACATTGCCTTTCAACAATGAGTTACAAAATCCCATCTTTCTTAGCGTGTTCAAATGCTCAATTGTTGTGAAACTTGATCTACGAATAAAATTAGATCTTGACCTTGTACCTCAAGGGGTAAAATCATTTTTATGGAACGAGGGTAGGTGAGATGGATTTGTCTTACTCTCACTACTCACTGATACCTATGTCTGGGACTCAGGGGTGAACCTGCACACCTGGACTCCAGATGGGGAAAGCTGTTCTACACATAGCATATGCCTCCATATCCAATTCTATCATCGCAGGCACCCAATGCATGAAAGATGTGCAAAGGCTCATGCTGGATATTTTGATTTTGTCATTTCCCAAATGCCCTCTCCAAAAATCACCTTAAGGAGGCAACATGTGGTCTTACATGAAACTTCAGAGCTGCTGGTGGGAGCAGAAAGGAACAGAGCCCATTGGAGAACACTCGGTGCTCACCGTCATGTTGGAAACACTGAGATAAAAAGGAGAGGCACAGTCTTTAACTATGTATGCATCCAACAGCTGCAGCTCTCTTAATGCTTGTGCTATGTCTGCGAAGTGAAGGCCATGGTGAGACCCTCACTGAGGCTCTGTTAGTGTTAAAACAGATGTTCCTTCAACACTCACATCTTAGGTGGCCACTTTCACGGGGTGGAAAAGGATAATCTAAACCTTCCTGTTCTTGCCAAAATAACCAGGTCTTTGTTCTGCACGTCTCTGGAACACACAGATAGATTTCCAAGCAGTAGGAACCTCCTGTCCTGTTCAGTTGTTGGACAAACTCTTGTTCTGCCCATTTCACCCTAGTTTCCTGAAATCCTGGCAGTAGGGCTCCCATGACTGGAGCCTGTGAGAGCCTCCTTTGTCAGGAGAGTTTTCACACCTAAAGCCATCAAGGCTGGCAGTGAAGGACACTGGGCTTCAAGCCCATTACAGCGATGACAGGTATTGTCTTGGCTGCCCAAGCTGAGTGGTCGTCCCTCTGCAGGTCTGTCTGGCTCCATCCCAGGGAAGAAGGCGGTGGAAGGCACCCATGGACTGCAGTTGGCTCTGCCTGGCCATGGGGGAGGATGGCAGAGGGCTGACCTGTTGCTGCTTCAGAAGTGTGGAAATTGTTTTGCCCTTTAAACTGATAGAGAAACAAGCTGGAACAATAAAACTAATCCTCCAAAGCAATCTAAGCATGGAAACCAGAAATGTATACTCAAATATTTTCTCCATTTTCTTTCTTCATAAATTTGGAACATTTGTGGCAGAAAGAGAAATCAGAATAAAATGGATTTAGAAAAGAGAGAGAAGTAGTTTAGAGGGTTGTATAGGGAGGCAACATGATAAAGACGGAAGAAAAATGGACTTGGAGAGAGAACAGTCAAATCTGGGCCTGCCTCTGAGTGCCTGTGTGGCCCTAGGCAAGTTTCCCTTCGACTTGAAGACCTGGGTCTCTATGATCCCTTTCAGTTGTAAGATTAAGACCTAAGAGTTCTTGCTTACATAAACAGAATTCTTCCAAGGCCATAATTATTCCCATAATCAAGAACTATTTATTAACTAAGCAGCAGTGTGTGATTTTCTCAAGATAAGAGCAAGAAGAAATGGTCCTTACAGGCTAGATAGCTGTGACATGGACCAACAACTAAGCATATCTAAAAACTCAACTAATTCATAATATGAATTCAAAATATGAATTGAATAAGCAAAAAAAAAAAAATTATACCATGAGAGTTGAATATTTTGGCAGGGGAAATCCAGCCCCTGACTTTAGGATGGTACTTTCTGTTTTGATTGAGCCTGAGTCACACTGGACTCTCTGGCATGGGCATAACCCAAGCATCTGCATGGCAGAGTTCTGGCTCATTGCCATTTGCAACAGACACGAAGGGTGAGATCAAACAAAAGGAACCTTCTCGGGTTGACCATCATAAATGCTGAAGACCAAGGCTTCAACTCACTTACTGGAGTGGATTTCCTTTTATGGATGGACTTGGTCACCCTGGGGAGACTAAGAATGTTAAGTAACTTAACCAACACGCAGTAAGGAGTGGGATCAGGATTCTTCTCCAGAGCTAACAGTTTTAACTGCCATTCTACATTGCCTGCCTGAGACAGCTGCCAACCTAGGCTTCTGTAACTGTCACTCCATGCTTCTCAAGCCGGGTTGCACGTTAGACTCATCTGGAGAGATTTGTGAAGCCATCCATGTCCAGGCTCGTCCACATAGTCCTCAGTTTTCTTGGTTTGAGGAGGGGCCTGGGAGTACAATCAAGGTGTGAATCACTGATGTCCATAATGAAAAATGTCAGACTCCAAAGCAAACTCAGGTGAAGGACTGCCTTCATGGTATGGATCCCTAGCAGATTTGAGCCTTAGAGGATTGGACTAGCAGCTTGTGGAATCGGATGCAAATCTTCCAATCCTCTAAGGGCGGATAAGCCTCTAGACTCATGAGAACGCTGGTCTTGGTGAAAATCCCCTGCATACCACAGGCCTCCCTTGGAGGAATCACCTAAAGAAACACCATGAAGAATTCGTTCTGGCCTCAAATAGTTACATGGATGTTTGTTGCAGGAAGATACATTTAACCATTGAAGTTCCTACTCATTGAGTGAACCCTGTCTCCCTCCTCTCTGGTTTCCAGAAACAAGGATTTTTTCTAAACTCCACTTACTTCTTGCCTCATGGCTAATGCCCATGGAGGTGGGGTGAGTGACCTGCTGGTGACCAAGGGAAATGAATCTGCACAGGAAGCCCAGGCCCTCCCTCCCTCCCTCCCTTTTCATTAGAAGCCAGCTTCCCCTGGAAAACAGCCACATTCTGCTCTACTTTGTCATGTCAATGGGCCCCTCCCTCAGTGGGAAGGCTTAAGTTTTGTAAGATTGACCAGAAGTGTGGTGATATTTCCTAATTCCAGGGAATGGAGCTAGTCATGCCACACATCTTTGCTGTTCTCACGAACTGCAAATAAACTCTATTTATTTATTTATTTATTTATTTATTTATTTAGAGGAAGGGTCTTACTCTGTCACCCAGGCTGTGGTGTAGTTGTGTGATCACAGTTCACTACAGGCTTGACCTCCTGGGCTTAGGTGATCCTCCCACCCTAGCCTCTCATGTAGCTGGGCCTATAGGTATGTGCCACCTCACCTCCTTTTCTTTTCTTTTCTTTTTCTTTTTCTTTTTTGGAGAGAGAGAGTCTTCTTATGTTGCCATTTTGAACTCTTGCACTCAAATGATCCTCCTGCCTTGGCCTTCCAAAGTGCTGGGATTACAGGTGTGAGCCACTGTGCCCTGCCCAAGGTAATATTTTGACCTTCCTTTACCTTATTCTTTGTCCATCTCTGAATTAGTTTATAACTTAGATGGGAAAAAAGAGGTGTGTAAATAAATAAATAAATACATAAATAAATAAATACATAAATTTATTTATTTATTTAAATAAATCCCATCAGTTCCCCCATAGAATGCCATTTCCCCCTAGCTGTCTATTCAAGTAACAAAACGAACAAGAAAACACTACAAATTCTCTCCCTATTTATACTATCCCACCATTATGTTATAACTCTCATTATAATGTTTTAGTTTTTCCTTGAAATAATAATCATCAGCCCATTTGTAAAACATATGTTTCTACCCACAAGTGACAACCAGAATTTCAGAATTAATTGCAAGAGCCATAAAGAGCTTTTTGGACATTTCCCTAAGAGCCTCCACGAATAGTAACAAGGGCGAATAGTAACCCCCGGCTCCAGCTGTTCCCACTGCTGTGGCAGGTTATGATACTTTCTTTCTTTAAGTAAAGGCCAAGAGAGATGGCTTTTCAGGACTTCCAGAGTCTGTATGACATGAAAAGCTTATTCCAGTAAAGGGAACAAGACCCTTGTCATCTGACACCAATGAGATGCCCTTCCCTTGACTGGCAGGGATCTGGAGGAGGAGGAGCAGATAACCTTCCGTCTAAATAAGCAATACCATCATTATTCTGGAATCTCTCTGAAGCATGGCTGGTTACAGTGCGGAATTCCACAGGGCACGTGTCTCTCTTGGACTCTATCCAAGGGAGTAATTTATCAGAAGGACCTCATTATAACAGGGGCTCCAGGGACAGTGCCAGTCAGCAGGCTTCAAGGTAGCTGGTAAAATTCTGGTGCTGGTCTGTTTAATCACTGCATGCTTGTTAGTACAGTCAAGCCTCAGTTACAACAGAATCAACAGCCCAGTTTGTCACTCATCCATTCCTTGTTCCGTCATCACCTGGTTGAGTTTCTGGCTTGTTTATTGGACAACTCTGGGTGTTGGGCAAAATGAGTGCCTCTTGTTTGAAATGCCTAATCCAGAGGCTTTTCACCTACGTGTTGTTTTCTCTCACCAGCACCTCTGCTCCGTGCCATGCTCTTGGCTAATTGAAGTTGTGAAAGGCATGAGGATTCTGGTCATGGACTCAGCTCTCCCACAGGGGTCTGACACCAAAGTAATGGTCACAACAATGAAAGGAAGAATCCATCTGGCCAGGCTCAGGTGGTTCAAGGCCTTCAGAATCTGCCTTGAGACTCTCCAGTGACAGTCTTTAGACTGAAAACCATCTTGGCCCCCATCCATCCCTGTAAGCAATTTAACAACAGCTTGCAAAGCACCGAGCTTTAACAGAAAGAAGAGATGAGCACAGCACAAGAACTTGGACTCCAGAAGAGCTGCCTAACAGATTATTTTTCTGTGGTATTTCATGAGAACAAACAAAGTAAGAATTTTCCTTTTGTCTGTCTGGCCTTTGGCATTGTTTACTTTCTTTTTATTCTTCTGAACTGTACTTTGAGCCCTGGCAGCATTTCTGTCCTAAAATCTTATTGTCAGAGGTTTTTCAGCTGTTTCAAATCGTATCTGATAGAGTGAGTGTGCTGCCTGGACTCATCACTTTACTTCAGAAGAAATACAGCTCACCCTTTAAATGACAATGGTGATTGTCCACAGCTTTATGTTTTCTACACTGAAGCGGCAGGCTTCATTTAAAAATAGTGTTTTCCCTCATCAAAAAAGAACTAGGGTAGAACCCTCAACTCTGCTGATGTCCAGGTAGTGACCTAACACCCATGTTTTGGACAATCACTGCCTTAAATCAGGTTTTCATTGCATGTAGGATAATTCTTTGTCAATGGTGGTTTTGTCAACTGTGAAGTGAGGTAATGAGGTTTTCTACTTTTGCTTGAAATTTTGAAAATATGCAAGCTTTTAACATTTGCAAAGTTGGATTCTGTTTTCTTTACAAAGCAACCTGATTTGCCGATGTTCTCTCCATCTGTCAGGGTATGCGTGATGTGGTGCGGACTTAATGTGCTGCCCTTCTGGAACATGGACAGGGTAGCAGCACAGAAAAATGAGCATTTCAGCTCTGTGATGATTTGTGAAAAAATTTCAGATCACTGAGCAGGCATTTTGCTGACACCTGTGAAAAGTAACCACATCAGAGAGCGTGGCGTGATGGTCGGAGGCCACATGCTGGAGTTGGACTGCTTGAGTCAAATCCCAGCTGCTCAGCTGTAGTGAACTGAATGGTGGTCCCCAAAAGATATGTGTATCTCCTAATCCCTGGTACCCGTGAATGTGACCAAAGACCCTTAAAGGGTCTTTGCAGATGTAATTACATTGAGGCTCTCAGAGATGAGAACATCCTGAATTATCAGGGTGGGTCCTATATCCAATGACAAGTATCTCCTTATAGGAGACAGAAGAAGATGCAGACCCAGAAGAGATTAAGTAAAGATGGAAGCAGAGACTGGAGTGAGGCTGCCACAGGCCAAAGAATACCTGGTGCCAGCAGAATCTGGAAGAGGCAAGGAAGGACACTTCCCTGGGGCTTTCGGACGGAGCACAGCCCTGCTGATGCCTTGGTGTTGGACATCTGGGCTATGGGACTATGAGAACCTTCTGTTGTTTTAAGCCACCCAGTTTGTGGTACTCTGTTATGGCTGCCACAGGAAACTAATACACCCTTTACCACCTGAGTGACCTTGGCCAGCTTACTTAACTTCCACGAATCAGTCCCCTCAAAGGAACACCCTCCCCCCAGGCTCACTGTGATGATAAAATACTTTGGCATAGGTGACTAGTTTAGACCAGGGCCTGCTACCTAGCACGTGCTATGCCAGTGTTTCTATCATGGCAAGAGCAGATGCAGCGGAGCTTAGATTTCAACTGTGTCCATGCTGGTTAGAAAAGTCACAGTCTGGGACACGGGACACTTCAGGAAGAATCTCCCTCACTGGATCCCAGTGTTCCAGCAATGTTTTCCAAGCAGCTGAAGAACAGGAAGCAGGAACAGGGTTCCCTACAAGAGCCATTATTCAGATGCCTCTACATCTGACTGGTGTTGGAGAAGTGTGACTTCTGGAGGTTTATGTGCTGGGACTTTAACAGCATACATACTAAAAACAACATTTATTTTCCTCAGATGCTGGGCTCTCTATGAGCCTTGACCTCCCTGAGAAGATTAGAGGCAGGTGCCTAATCTGATCGGTCAACTCAGTGAAACAACTGCATTGATTAAAGCCATAAGATGTTAGGATTCTCTGCTCTTGGTGGCCTAAAAGGTCCCATTCCTTTCCCAAAGTGCTTAGCTTGATCCCATCCCAGGGAACAATTTTGGGTGGACGAGAACCTGGCCACAGAGCATGAGATCATGTATGACTAAGTCTACTTGCCTTCATGGAAAGATACATGGAGTTTTGGGCAATTTCTTTGAACCCCTCTAGAGGCTTCTAAAGATTGTTTAGCACCATCTGGTTTTTAATCCTGGATGCCAAACTTGTTGATTTTTGCCCTGGACCATCTGTTTTTCAACTTCCCATGGAACCTTTCTTTGGGCCAAGTAGGGAAAGAAATAACTATATTTTTAATTATTTTTGTTTTGCCTTCTCATCCCAGTCACAGCATTAGAAAGGGAAAATCAACTGTCTGACAAAGCTCTGAAAGATTGGACATGAAGTGCTGGCCTTGCTATCTGCAGGGCATCTCCCTATATAGATTGGATACCTTTTCCTTCACTCCCTGATAAAAAGTGAGACAGACTGAGCATAGTCTTGTGACCATTTAATGCCTGTGCCCAGAATACGGGTCTGTACCACTTACAGCAGTCACAGTGGGGAGGAGCAGGGACCCTGGGGTCTCCGGCCTGTGTCTGAATTCCAGCTGAGCCCACTCCTAGACCAGTGCCTGGGAAAGCTATCTGACCTCTGAGATCCAGTCTACTAGCCTCACAAGTGAGATTGTGACAACACTTACCTCAATGAGGCATTGGACATCATCTCATTTAATCCTCAACGTGCCTCAGTGTCTAGCATTTAACAAGCTCCCATAAACATTAGTTATTATTATTCCTTAATATGAATAGCATTTAAAATAATAAAGTGGGAGAGAGCAATGCTGCGTGCCCTACCACTGGCCAGAGAGCTTGCAGCAGGAAGAATGCTTAGGTGGAACGCACAGGCCTTTTCTGAGTTCATCCCATTCCAAAGGATTTGGTGTTGCCATATATGGAACATTAAGATTAGAAATGGCCATTTCCAAACTGGTGAATCCCTTGGTGCCTTTTTCTCCACTGTGATTCATCTGGGGTACCCTCAGTTTTCAGTGGTCACAGTCATTCCAAACCAACCATGAGCTGGGGGAACATTGTACTGTGGTAAACCCAGGGTCACCTGACCAGAGCTCCAATTTTATAAACCCAAGTTGTAGGTGGAATGATGGATGCGGGCTTCTCTGGCAAATGCTTCCTGAGCATTATGGACACTGTCACTTCTAGGGGGCTGCAGTTGCCTCATTGTATAATTTGGGTCATCAGAAAGGAGGCAGTCATGGATGAGCTGCCCTTCTGGACAAAATGACATCTCTCTTATTGAAAAAGGTTAAGAGGCTACTTTCTTTCCCCCCCGCCTCACAACCACTATTTATTGCATGAGATTTCAGAATGATGATGATAAAAAAGCAAGTTTATAGACACATCATGAGGTTGTATGAATAAAATAAAGTAATATCTGGGACAGATATATCAAAGAAAATTGAACCCAAAATGTCTAACTTTGCAGTCCATACTCAGCCAGAACTCCCAATGAATTAAAACACAGACTGCATAATTATGTACACAAAATGCCTTTAAAGTTGCTCCATAAATTTGAAGAAAAAAGGATAGTCTGTTTAAAGCTACTAGGGCAAAATTCCTTACTGTGGGTTTATAGGCACTAGTACAAGTGGTTCCCAAATCCCCCTTTTTATTTTTTAATTATAAATAAGAAAGAACAGAGTCTCCCCTTGCAACTTCCACTTCATCGCAGCCTCCAGGCACAGAGGACAGAGTTCCTGGAAAAAAGGAAGGCTTAATTCCAGGTCTCTAATAGCAAATTATAGTCAGACTGAACATTGATTATATTTAAATCTACCATATTTTTCTTTTGAAAACCATATATTATTTAACATCTTGAATGTTTTACATTGAATTTGTTGAAAAATTCTCCCTGTGTTTTCAGGCCTTTATCATAATTTTGTTTTTATTTCTTAATTTTTCTTTTCAAATAAGTGAGAGAATTAAGTTAAATGAGCAATAATATGTAAGTCATTCAGTTAATATAGAAATTTTGGGCCAGCCATGGAGTCTTATGGCTGTAATCTCAGCATTTTGGGAGGCCGAGGCAGACAGATCACTTGAGCCCAGGAGTTCGAGACCAGCCTGGGTAACCTGGAGAAACTCTGTCTTTCCCCCAAAATACAAAAATTAGTCAGGAATGGTGGCATGTGCCTCTAGTTCCAGCTACTCGGGAGGCTGAGGCATGAGAATAGCTTGAGCCTGGGAGGCAGAGGTTGCAGTGAGGCAGGATCTCACCACTGCACTCCAGCCCAGGCAACAGCAAGACCTTGTCAAAAAAGAAAAGAAAAGAAAAGAGAAAAGGAAAGGAAAGGAAAGGAAAGGAAAGGAAAGGAAAGGAAAGGAAAGGAAAGGAAGAAGAATTCTGGGAATTCTAGCTTTCTCTTGGTGCATGCTCTCATTCTGTTGAAATCAAGCAGTTTCTACATGAGGCAGACAAGTTCCTAGGGTATTCAGAAAGGGGCAATATCTTGGTTCTTGCTTCAAGAGAGCTAACTGCTGCTGGGACCTACTGTTGAGCAATGACTCAGGGACCTGGCTGGTAAAGAGGAAGGAAGTGGCTATGGAAAGTTGCTGTTAAGTAACTGGAGCCCCAGAGTAACATAAAATTGACCAAGTCATCCCACCCCCAACACCTACCATTACTGAGAGTAACAATGTGGAGATAACCATGCAGGCTGCTGGGTCCATTTGTCACTTATTTGAGTTCCCTTCATTATAGCTCTTAATGCTACTGAACTCTAATTACATGACATGCCCTCAACTCCATGTCCCATGAGAGATTGATTTGTCTTTATATAAATAGCTATCAACTAAATTGAGATCATAAGAGTTTTATCTTTGAATATACCATATAATTGCATTCATAAGAGGTATTCAAAATAACCATTTCATAAATTTTTCCAATATCCCTATGAGTAGGGTTGTTTTTCTCATTTTACCAATGAGGAGTCTCAGTACTAAATGTCGGAAAAGTACTTAATGTGAGTAGCATGATAAAAAGTACACATTAAAACAAGAAGACATATTTTGACCATCAAACTAGCAAGGATATATAAATCATAAAATTAGCAACGTTTAAAAAATAATGCTTTATGCTGGCAAGGTTATGCTGACATTGAAATGAAAATTCTGTTTCTGCTGATAAAAGTACATGTTGGTTAAGCCTCTCTGAAGAGCAATTTGCAATGTGTCTCAGGAAAATTATTCATACATTTAGATGCAGTAATTTTATTTCTGAGATTTCCTTCTAAGGAATGTAGACAAATTTTGTATGCAAATATGTTTCTCACAATGTTTTTTATAATGGTAAGAACTTGGATATAACAAATATTTAACCACAGGAAGTGGTTATGATACTCCTACACAATGGAATATTATGGAGCCCCTAAAATTATATTTTTGAAAACTTTTAATGACATGAGAAAACATTCAGAATGTACTGTTAAGTGAAAAAAGCAGGATAAAAACTTACATAATAGTATGATCATGGTAATATAAAAACATATGTGTAAATCCATTCAAACTAGACTGGAAGAAATAGAACTTAGTTACTTGTTCAAGGTCAAATACCTGCCAAGCAGCGGAGCCAGCACCTAAACACAGTTCTTCTGACACTAATCCCAATGTCTCCTTCCCCATACCATGATGTCTCAGAAAATATTCAGTTTGAGTAATACATTGTTGTTCGTTTTATTAGAAAACAAGCCATTCATGGAATTATGCTAAAATCCATTACTACTTTGATTAGATTCAGGAATTCAAGTAAGTTTTGGGGTGTTGCTCAATTTCCACAGTTTTGCAAGTTGCTGAAACCACACCCACATTTACAACACCCAAGTATGCTAAGCCCACTGCTAGGACTCAGTTTCCAAAGTGTGTTACCTGCACTATATTTGTAACCCCCTTTAACACAGAAAGAATAATAAAATTCAATATACAAGATGACTTGGAGAGGTTATTTTTTTTCTAGTAGTTTCCAAATTGAACTAAACAGCAACATTACCAGGGTGATTTTCTCAAAATGCAGATCCAGGTCCTATGCCAAGAGATTCTATTTTAGCAAGTTACGGTGGAGCCCTGCCCTCTGAATTTTAAATAGTACCCTGGGCAGGACCATCTTTAAACCATTCCAACCAGTGATAGAGATGTGTTTGATGAGGTCCCTACATGCACGGAGTTACATGTGGTGATTCCACTACTTCAGGTTAGAAAAACACCTCTTCAAAACCCAGATTCATTTATAAAGTGAGTATACTGGCCACTGAGTCCTGTAACTACTTGGCTCATTCTTTCAATGGTTACTGGGGAAATCACTTTATCTTCCACTGATGCTTGCACTGGTTATTTATTGTTGCTTAACAAAGGATTCTCAAACTTGGTGGCATCAGGCAACAAACATTTATCTCATGATTTCTATGGATCAAAATGCTAGGCACAGTTTAATTGGGTGCTCCTGGGTCAAGGTCTCTACTGAGGTTGCAGGCAAACTATTGGCCAGGGCTGTGGTCTCATCTGAAGGCCAGAGAGAGTGAGAAAAAGGGAGGGAATCTGTTTCCAATTTCACTTATGCAATTATTGACAGGTCCTTCTTCACTGGGCTAAATCACAACATGGTAGCTGACTTCCTGCAGAAAGAGAGAACAAAGAAAGCAGGAGTGAGAAAGCGAGAGTAAGAGACAGAACAAAAGAGAGTGAGCAAGAAAATGTGCACCCATATGTACCCAAATGTGCACCGAAGATGGAAGTCACAATCTTTTTGTGATCTAATCTTGAAGTGACATCTCATCATTTTTTCACATTTATTAGAAGCAAGTCAACTTCAGCACATAACCAAGGAGAGAAAATTATACAACATTGTGAATACCAGAATCATGGCTCATTGTGGTCCATCCTGGGGAGTATTTGATGCACTGTCCTGGGCAAATGGCAGAAATAAATTCTATACTAAACCACCTTCACCTCTATCCTTCAATTTCTACTTGGTAAGTAAGCAGAGGTGAGGCTGGAGGGAACGCTGCATATTTATGATAGTTAAACCAAGAGGACCAAGGCAGAAAGAAAATCTGCAAGTTTAGTGTGGGTCAATGCTGGTATTTTCAAACGTACAGCATGAGCTATGAGTGTCATCTTTGGTATCAATGGCGAGACTCGGTTAATAGTGTCACTCATTCTCTTTGTTCTTTAAAGAAGTGCACATTTGAAATAGCCTTGGGGACTATTGTTCTCAACTTCTATTTTTTCTGGCTGTAACTCATGAAACCATATTCAGTTATTCTAGAAAAGATATTTGAACGTGATGGTCTGACCTCAACTGCAACTTGCTCAGGGGCCTAATACAACTATATCTTCCATTTTCTTTGAGAGGGAGACAACAAATATTGGGTAAAAGTAAATGCATTTATACATTTTTATATGTATATAAGTATACAGCTAACTGTTGAACTACACACATGGGTTTGAGCTATGCAGGTCCACTTATAGGTGGATTTTTTTCAAGCAAATGCAGATTGAGGGATGCAAAACCTGGGTATAGGGAGGGCCGACTTTTCATATACACAGTTCTGGAGGGCCTACTGTGGGACTTGAGCATGTGGGGATTTTGGTATACACTGGTGTCTGGAACCAATACCCCTCGTATACTGGGGATGACTGTGTGTGTACATGTATATATGTGTGTATATATTTATATGTGTGTCTATACATGTGTACACACATCACAACTCCTTGGGACCATCTAGAGTGTCTCAGCTTACCCCACATGTCCAGCTTAGCCTTGGTAGCAGAGCCTTCTAGTAATGTGAACAAAGTTAGGTTTCCAGACTTAACTAGTTTATCCACTAGATCTACCATGTAGAGTTAAATCCAGCTTGCCATCTGGTTGCCAGATGATGAGTGCTACAAGTATTTTCCAGCATCTCAACTTGCTATTGAGTCACAGCCACAAACAAAAGCAGCAGATACAGCTGCCTGATGGCTGCTTTTAGGATGCAGTATTTTCTGTCTCTCCCCATGAAATCACTGGTGAGGAGGGAGTCCCCTTTGTCATTTCAGCTGCCAAGACATTTCATGCTAATGAACTGTGAAGGGGAAGTCGCTAATGATATGAAATCCCTTTTTATGGCCAGGGCTGGGCCAAGGCCACCAGAGGGGTGGTAGGGAGGTTCTTAACAACAGAGGCTGATTCTTCTGTTGGTGGAAGGTGAGAGGACAGGCCAATCCATAAACAATGCCCAAGGACTCTGGGGGCATCGACCTGTTTCCATAAGCCTCTATCCCCTTCCTCTCTGACACCTCAAAATTTTAGATGGGAGCTTAAGTTAGCTAGGTTCAGAGGGAAATAGAAGGAGAAATACTTTTGGCAGATCACCTAGGAAAACTAAAAGTAATTCCCAAGGTATCTGTTTGAATTAAGGAAAGTCCCATAAAAAATTGCTATTCCATTGGAGTCCACGTCCACCCTAATTCAAGCCAGCTGATAACCTGAAGACGTGAACGAAGGGGTGGCCAAGGGAAGCATGTGTGGTACAGTGGAAAGACCCCTGCTTGGGAAACAGAGAATCTGGTCCATGTCTCACTTTGTTATTTTTGGCTGTGTGATCTTGTGTAAAACACCAGAATTTTCTGAATTTTATATCCTTATCTATGTGATATCATTAGCTACTTCAGGTGATTGTTATGAAATTAAGTGAGATTACATCCATAGAAAGAGATATTAAAATATTGTCACTATTTTTTAAATGTATATATTTTTTCCATTTTCTCCCTGTGACAGAAATTCTGCTACCCGAGAGGTATGACTCTTTGGGATAAGGGGCTGTTCTCTTGGTGACCTTCTTAAAAAGCAAATGTCTTTGAAAAAAAGTAACATGGGATTGGTGAGTGATCAATCAATAGATTTCTTTTCCCCAGTAAATGGAGATTTTTGTTTGTTTGTTTGTTTGTTTTAGAGGCATTTTATTTAGACAACTAAAAACAATTAGATGTTCAGAAGCAGTGTACAATGAAAGAGAAATCAAACCAGTTACTTTATCATGTATTCCCTCTTCTTTACAACTAA